GCACACGAGGTAGGAGAGTTGTCGATAGCCCCGACCATTCACACGCTCTAGCAAGTAGAGGTATTCATGCCACAACATCACTTTTGTGTGAGTACACGCAGGTGCAAATGAGCGGCAAGGGACTTGTTGAGGACGACGTCCAGCTGCGAGCGAGTCAGAAAACAAACCAGGAATGTGAAAGCAATGACAGCAAGCGGCAGTGGAAGCAGGTTCAGCAGCGTGCAACACAATGCAACAAGCAGGGTCTGGGAAACACGACCACGTGTGTGGTGGCAGGCACGGTGGTGCGCGCGCGCGCACACACACACACGCACACACACACACACACACACACACACATACACAAGCACACACACATGCATACACACACACACACACACACAAGCATACTCACACAAGCATACACACACAGCATACACATATGCACACGCATACACGCACTGCAGTGAGGATACCTCGGCCACGAGCTCGTCATCTTGGCCAGGTGGCGGCTGTGCATGCTGGTGGTCGTCTGCCATGATGCTGCCCTTGCGCTTACAGTGCCGAAATTCAATGCAAGCCATTCAGTAATCCTCTACAACCACCACCAACTAACTGCCGCCGATGGATGTGAGGAGCGAGGATGCTGCGACAGCAACCACCGCTGTCACTGGCAATTCCCAGCAAGAACCCGAGCCAGTGCAGCAGCCAGCGCAGCAGCAAGAGCAGCAGCGAGAGGAGACACTGGGCTTGCTGACACATGCCTATGTTCGACACGGCTGGAAAGTTGTTCGGCCGCGGCGGCTTTCGCGGGCCATGCTTGACGCCGTGTGCACGTCACTGGGCATGGATGTCACTGGCGAAGTGAGTGAGGGCTCCTTGTTCATATCCCACCCAGCTTTCTACTTGGAGGTGCACGTGGACCCGAAGACGCACTTTGTCACCAAAGTCGACATTGGCCATGATGTCCAAGATGCAGTGGAGGTATGGATGACGGACAGTGCATGGTACCCTGCCCGGCCGAGGGGGGGGGGGCGGTTCTTGATTCGCTCGTGACTGCCATGCACAACGTACACGCACACACACACACACACACACACACACACACACACACACACACACACACACACACACACACACACACACACACACACACACGGCTCATTGTGTCCTTTTCAAACACACTGAAGCACCACCAACACCAACGCCATATCAAGAAACATAATGACGCTTGCATGCACTCACGGCCTACGCACTCGCACCCACACTCACACCCTCACACCCCCGCTTTTCATTGTTCCAAGGAACCGCTGCTCCTGTTCTTCTTGGCGAACGAAGGCTTTCAGGGGTTTGGCAGCTACTTGCGCCCCGTGACACAGGTGTGCTGTCGCTCACGTTGTGCTGGCAACAGCCATGGTCCCAAACGCCATTGAAGTGACCTCTTGAGCGCAATTCTTTCCTTGCCTCTCTCACCCAGGTCTGGCATGTCATGACTGTTGCATCACCATCTCTAGTTTTATGATTCGTTGCGCATCCACATCACGGATGATGGTGCGCTGGAGGAAGCGCGACGCCAGCTGTATGCGGCCCTCACCAACCTGCGCCAGTATGTCGATAGGGAAGCCTGTTCCCTTTCTGCGGCCACCGCGGCCATTCCCTTGACCAACGCCGCCGCCATCAACAGCGCCACGGGCAGTGGCACCAGCGATGGCACTGGCGACAACAACAACAGCAGCAGCAGTAGTAGTAACAGAAGCAAGAGCAACAACGCGCGACACACGCCAGCATCGAACATGCGCGCTGGTGTCGCGCAGCTCCGCTCCCTCATCTCCACAGGCCTTGGTCTCACAACCACTCGCTTCACAGACTTTCGTGCGTTTATTACTTGGTCGTGCACGCTATACGTTCACGGGTGTCTGTATGCGTGTATGCATGTATGTGTGTGTGTGTTCATGTGTGCGTGTTTATGTGTGTTCATGTGTGTGAGTGCATGTTCGTGTCCGTTATTGTTCTCGCGATGCCGTTAATAATCAAACACAAACCCCGTTTTGCCGTGATGACGCGTGCGCGTGTTGCATGTGTGCAGGGACGTTTGGACCGGCCCTGCTGTGGTATCTCTCGCCCCAGCAGCAGAGCATCCTGCACCACCCGCGCATCGCTCTCTCGCGCACAGGTCGCCCATGCACTTGCGGAGTGATTCACGCGTGTGACCGTGGTGCCATGTGGAGATGACTTGTGTTTCGACAGCGAGCATGAACAGTGTGTATGTGTGTGTGTGTGTGTGTGTGTGTGTGTGTGTGTGTGTGTGTGTGTGTGTGTGTGTGTGTGTGTGTGCGGACTGGAACTGCGCGAATGGACGTGCGCTCGTGCGCATGTGTCGTGTGATTGCTCATGCTGGTATACGCTCTTGCGCGGACAATTGCGTTGTCATCCACCACCCCACAACAACAACGGCGACGACGACGACGACGCCTTTGTAGGTGTGGAGAAGCAGCTGCCTGAGTGCGCATGTGTGTGTCTGGTCGGAACGCGCTGCGTTGCCGCTGATGACACGTGGGGATTTGCATGCACAAATCTCGCCACGCAAGGTGTGTTGAAAACACGAAGCGAGAGGGACAAAAATCTAATCACTCATTGGGAGCAAAGACGATTCATGCACCTTGCGCCTTCCTCTGTCTGTCTGTGTGTGTGTGTGTGTGTGTGTGTGTGTGTGTGTGTCTGTGTGTGTGTCTGTGTGTGTGTGAGGGGGGAGGGAGGGAGAGACCCTCCATATGCCTCTGTGTGGCCTTTTGTGTGTCAGTTTGCCTGCTTGTGGACTTGGGTGCATCGCCCCTACCCGCCTTCTCATGTTAACGTTTGCCGCTGGTGCTATGCGGTGGGTGCTGATGGTGTGCAGACGGCTCCAAGACCCCGTTCCCTGCCCAGCACTTCCTTCGCTTGACTAAGTGCGTCATCTTGGATGGCATTGTCCTCGCACACGCGCTTTCCATCCACGATGTGGATTTGCATTTTTTTGCTCTCTCCAATCACGCACACGCCAACAATGTACATTCACAAACCCACTTAAGACGCTCTTGCGCATTCACACACATCCACACACACACGCACACATTCGCGCACACACATACACACACACGCACCAACACGCACACATCCACACACACACACACCAACACACACACACACACATGCACGCACGTTCATGCATGACAACGTGCAACTAACAATCCACAACATGCAACTACATGCACGCCCAGGCCCGTCATCGTCCCCTCCCACTTGGTGTCGGACTTGGCGGCGGTTGCAAAGTTGGATGAGTCCGTGTTGAGAACAAAGCTGCCCTCACAGCCTATCCTTCCCCAAGCTACCCCAACACAGCAGCAACACGTGGTACGCACGGTTTTGTATGCACGTATATCTATGCGTGTGTGTGTTTGGGGGGGGTAATGGCGTGCCGTGCTGTTCACGCTGCTGTTCTTGTTCAGTGCGTTCTTTCCAACTTACATGCACCACTCCTGCTTGTGGACGCGCGCGCCTCCACAACCACTGTCGTCTCCCGTGCCTCACGAATGCCCAAGGTTGGCCATTACTTCGTGAGCATACACGCGGACGAGTCCACCACTTCTTCAACCGGCGCTGTTGTGCATGAACTGCCCTTTTCCTCACCAGAACAACTACCACCACTCCTCCAAGTGAGCGCCCAGTGTGTGCGTGCTTGTGTCTGGGTCTGTGTCCGTGTCTGTGTTTGTGTCTGTATATGTGTCTGTGTCTGTGTGTGTTTCCTGGTTTGTAACATGTGCACTTTTGCTCACGCCTCACTGCAGATACTTCGGCAAAGCGTTGCGTTTTGCGCGCTACTCAAATCTGCGGTGACACCGTCGTCTCTCGTGCAAGGTTTGCCAGCAGCTTGCTCGCCTGTGTGCGCTTCACACTCGAAGCACATGGCAAACACTTGCCACAAGCGCACATGCACACAGACAAGTAGCATTTTGAAGTTCCAGTTTGTTGTACATGTGCTCACTTGCGTTTATGTTCTTCCTTTTCCACTGCCAGGGTTTCCAAAGCGATCTGTAAAGATGACACTCGGTACTGTCGGCTCCGTGCTCACGCTGAAGCCACAAGACCCAGCAACAAACCGGCAGCCAAGCGGTACGCGCACGGCCATTTTGTCTGTATTGTACCCTCTTGACCACCTTTTTTTGTATCACTTGCACACGAGACGCATGTTGAATAACATACTGATACACAATGCCGCCCCGTCCCACTCGCGCCCCACGATTCGCGCGTTCACGCACCCAATCACACTCAAACACAAACGCAGTGACGCTTGAGGTTCGCCGTGACGGCGCTGTTGACTGCACAAGCGAGACAACGGCTGTGCCAGCAACGTTGTCCGAGGTTGCATCAGCTCACCTCAGCATTCCACACATTCTGGCCAGTGTGCTCACCCAGAGTGAAGAGACCTCCCTGCAGCACCAGCACCAGCAGTCAGGTGATGATGGTACAATAGCAGCGTCCACGGCGAGGGCAAAACGCACAGCTGCCGAGGCGGATGCGTCGGTGTGATGCCACACACTCTCTGGCCTTCGCTGTTCTCTCGATTTGCTTCCTTCTTGATTGCTGACCGTTTCCACTGTTACATGATGTCTTGCGTGTGGAGCACTTGAGCTCAGTGTTGCGGCCGTTCCTCTTGTATATCAGTGCTCTCTCGCTCAATACACGATTGCCGTGGCGCCAGCTGGTTCGTGTCAATGCAAACGCACATGCGCGCATGCACATGCACACTCACAAGCAACCAACTTCCTTGCGCAAGCGAAAGTCTCGACTAGGTCCGTGGCCAAATGAGAGAGTGTAGACAGGGAGCGTGTGTGCGCATGTGTGCGCGCTGCACACCGCACGCGTTCCCATGTGTGGAAATGAATGTGTCCCTGAAGCCCGCAGCGAATAAAGGATGAATCCATACATGACGCTAAACAATGGACGGGTGAGCTGCGCAAGGAAAGAAGGAAGCAGTGACTCAGTTGCGTTTGCGCGTGATCGCCACAGTTGTCTTCTTCTGCTGCTGATGAGTGAACACTCCTCTGCGCCCACCAGAGAACATACAGCTGACGGAAAAACTGCTTGTCAGTCGCTTGAGTTGTGAGCCTAGCGGCGGCCCCGACTCAATGGTGTTGGCGCGACTTCTTGTCATACGAACGAACAAAACATCATTCCGTGGACTTGCGCGTGACTTCTCATAGGCCCCTAACTCAAGGTGTGTTGAACAAAACGTCTTTTGCAACGATAACGCGCGTTTGTGTTATGCTTTGGGTCGTGATAACGTCGCCACATCGAGTGGCCAACAGAATAAGATGACGAGGCCACAATAACGACCGAATGACCAGGTTAAGGAAAGCATGCACAGACAAGTGCCGTAACAATGGCATCAGTGATAAAAGAAATGGAAAGGTGCGAACGAGCTGTCATGCAGCATGGCGCAAGGGACAGTACAAAACATTACACTCAATGCGGCAACGTAAGAACGTTCGTTCGCCAAAGGCAAGACTGCTCCACAACAAGGCAATACACAAGAGAAGCAAGCAACAAAGTGACAATGTACACAAGCCACGAGTGATGATGATGATGATGGTCAGCGAAGATACATAGAAGTTAACTATGTCACTCAAAACAAGCAGGCGCAGGTAACTTCACTACTTCAACATGCCATCAACGCCAATGCGCAGTCGAAACAACAACAGGGATCGCTTCACCCAGTAACAAGTGTCCTCCGACAGGGGCGAGAATGAGAAGACAACATACCAACACCACACGTCCATCACACGTGCAACTCAAAACAGTGGCGACGGGTGCTGGTCGATGGTGCCGATTGGGTGGAGGGTGTGGAGGTACTGCCGCACGTGGTCCAGCAGTGCTTGCCGCTCCTTCAACAGCCGCTGTCGCTTCTGCACAAGCAGGTCCTTGGTCTTGTTCAGCAGCGTCAGGCGCTGGCGCACCGTCCGGCGGCCGGTGAGCTCTTGGTTGCGGCGGCGCCAGTAGCTGCGGCGTGCAATCTCTCGCGTGCGCTCAAGCTTCTCGTGGTCAATCTCGCCGTTCTCAAGCACACACCGCTTGTTGATGGCGCTGCGCCCGCGCATCATCGTGCTTGCTGTGCCCTTGGCGCGCACGCTGCTGTTGTTGCCGCGTCTGCGCTGTGCCCGCTTGCTCTTGCGACGGTGTGCTGGCGATGACGTTGACGATGGCAACGAGGAGGAGGACGAAGAAGAGGAGCTTGTGGCTGTGTGCGATGTGGGCTGCCAAGGGGTGAGATCTTCAGCGTCGCTGCTGTTGGATGAGAACGACGCAGCAGACAGTGCTGACGCCGACGATGCCGCAGACGCCTGTCGCTCTTCCATAGACGAGGAGGAGGTGGAGGAGAAGGAGGAGAGGAAGGACTCCAGGGCTGCGTCAAAAAGGTTCATGTCTGCATGGCTCAGCAGCTTCTCGACCTTGATGTCGCTATTCAATGTGAACGCAGGCAGGAGGGCACCGTCATTGCCCTGGCTCTGCGAGGCGTTGGCGCCGCCGACGTTGATGGCACCGCCATCTGCCGTCGCTGTTGCTGCTGTTGTTGTGGGGAAAACATCATCATCAAAGTGGAAGATGTTGTCGCTTGTGCTTTCGAAGCGGAGGCGGGGGCTTGCCAGCCCAGTGTCAAAGTCGAAGAACGGTGCTGCCTGCTGGTGGACTTGGTGCTGCTGCTGCTGCTGCTGCTGCTGCTGGTGGTGGTGGTGGGAAGCAGCAATGCTGTTGGAGGACTTGGATGCGTGGAATAAAGACACCGATGATGATGAGGATGATGGCGGGGATGATGGTGTCATCGACGTGTCCTTCTTGGTGTCGTCGATGATGCCAAAGCCGCTGTCCAAGGCTGCCATCATGGTGGAATTGGTGTTGAGCGTGGAGAAGGCGGATGTTGTTGGTGTGGGGGATGTTGCGGATTTGCTTGCCGTTGCATGCAGGCAAAGGGATGGGGAGTGCTGTGCATACAGCTGCGAGTAGTCGCTGCTGCCGCTGCTGCCGCTGCACATGCTTGGCGTCAAAGGAACGGCGCTGAGGTCGAGGTCTGCTGCGGAGCGGCTTGTGCGGCAGCAGGTGGGCTTGGTAAGGGTGCCTGCTTGCTGGACGAGGCCATCCAGGTATGTGTGGTAGGTGGCGACGCCCTCCCATGTTGGTGTTGGGGTGTCCATGGTGCTGCTGGTACAGCGGTTGTTTGTTTGTCCGTTTGTGGACTAAGGAATGCGCGAGGCGCGTTCTTCCGGGTTGTTCGCCACTCCTCGTGCTCTCGGTGTGGTCCTGGGTCGGTGCCGGTGTGGTGAGTGGGTTGGACGGCTTTCACAGCTTGGCGTCTCCTCCGTCTCTGGACCTATGCTCTTGAGAATGCGATGACGACGGGTAGTGCGTGCGGCAGAGCAGCAAGTGGCACGCACTTGAGCACTTTGAGGTTGAGGGACTGGAGAAAATGGCTCGTGTCGAGCACCATCACTGTTGGAATGCAGTGAGGATGCGCTGCTGCTGTCTTTGTTGTGCGGTGTTTGTTGTGCGGTGTTGTGTTTGATTTTGATCTGCGACGCAAGGAGGAGGTGGGACGGCTTGTCTTGTGGTGTGCAGCTGTGGTGGAGAAGATACTAAGATAGGTGGGTTGGTGGCAAAGCAACTGGCTGGGTTGCGCGACGCAACCTTGATGCAGAAGAAAGTGGACAGCAGCAAGGGAAGGGAAGGGAAGTGCGGCGTCAGGACGAAAGCCCGGCTTCGCATTGCCGCAACAAAACAGCAGACCTACATGTGGGGCTTTTCGTCTTTGGGTGTTTTGGCTGTAGCGCTGTACAGGTGTGCCGTCGCCTGCCGCCTTGCTTGTTGTGTGTTGTTGGAGACAAACCAACCCACAACAGACAAGCCTAAATTCGTGCAAACAAAGAGCGAGAAAGCGCACAGCAGCGCCGCCACGAGCGACACGCGAAGGGCTGGAATGTGTGTGTATGTCCAATATGCCCCGCGTTTAACCTTTGGTCATGACGCGTTGGAGCGAAGGCACAAGCGAATATTGGTGAAAGCATCAACAACGCCACCCACGTCACTCATTCGTCCGTGTGTCGTGGTTGCTTGTGCTTGCACACTTTGGCTTGCTTTTGGTGAAGGTTTGGTCCCGACATAAAATTTGTTGTTGTGCTTGAGAGCAGCAGATTGGCCCGCCCTGCAGCCACCATGAACATGATGCAAACACCCAACAGAAGCAAGCCACCCTCGCAAGCCAAACACAAAAAACCAGCCAGCAGCTACAGAGCGAACCTGCCCGCTCCGCAGCACACGAAAAACCTCGGGTTTGATCCCTTTTCTTCAGCTTTAGAGCTTTGTGTTCTGTTCTGGTGCCAAGCGACCAGACCATCTCTTCCGGTTGACACTGCACACAGCTGAGACGCACGCGCTGGTTGAATGGGACAAGAGGGCGATGGATGCGACAACAGAAGAGGGAGGGGGAGAGGAGAGACATCGACTAGAAGACTGAAAGAGAAAGAAAGAGCAACCGCCGGCGGTTCCTTTGCATGCTTATATGGCCTGCCATACGCCCCACCACAACCCTCGCCTACAGCAAGCACAGCAGTCTGCAGCAACCCCACGGCAGCACAGCAACGCAACAAGTGGCCAGCCAAGCGCACCTGTTGCTACAGTGACAGGGCAACGATACGCCAACCGGCGCAGAGAGGAACAGCAACAACACCAATCAGAGCAGTGCAGGCACAACGTTGCTACAGCAGCAGCAGAGCAGAAGCAGCACACTCAGCAACAACACCCGAAGGTTTTGTGTGTTGTGGTGATGGGGACCACCCCATGTGGTGTTGAGCACGAGGAGGCGATTGCCCATGCAAGTACACAACAGAACACAGCTCCACCAGAGCAGACTCAAAGCTGACCACACAGCAACGTACTGGCATCGTCAAGCTAGGGCATCATCAGCAGCCCGTCAGTGAAGTGCAACGCTTCTTCAGCACCCAACACGAACAAGGGGATGAAGCAGGTTGCTGTGCTCTCTGCTCTTTCTTCTGCTGTACGACAGCTTTCTTTGCTATGGAGCAACGGTGTGACGAGGGGCGAGCACCGGGAGCGACGGACTTACAAAGCGCACAGCACCGCTCACAGCCTGTTGCAAGCAGCACCCACTCGCACCTCCTATCGCGGATGGCTGAATGGATGGGTGGGCTGGTGGGCGATCCAAGAACAGAAGAACTCCAAGGCTTCAAAGTGAAGGAAGAGGAAAAGGACAAGGACAAGGCAAGCAAGTGTGTCCTGTCTCTGTGCTGCTGTGTCTGAGCTTGTCCCAGCCTGATGGCGAGGGGGGCGAGGGGGCGCGGTGGTTTGTTTTCTTTTGCGTTGCGTTGTGCTCTGCTGCAAAGCGAGCTCGAGGAGAAGGCTGCCGCTCTTGCCTTGCTCCTTGCTGCTGGGCCACGCAACCAAAAATTTCGTCGGTATTTTGATTCTTGGTGGTGGTGTTTTGTTTCTTCTTCCTTCCCCTTCCTTGGTTCCTTTCTCGTGGCTGCGTGTGATGTTGATGTGAGAGGATGTGATGTGATGCTGATGCGATGTGCCTGTCCACCACCAGCCTTCATTATTGGTCCGGTGACATGGTGTTCATCTCAAGCCCTTCTATGTGGCTTGGTGGTGTCTTCTCTTGCGGGGGCCTTTCTTTATTTAGTTATTTGGGTGATAGGGTGATGCCGACTTCTCTCGAGTAGCCTAGTACTTAGCCTGAGCCTTAGTCTGCCATGCCAACAAGGCGTTGTATGAAAGGGAAGAAACGAAAAAGAGGGAGAAGGGTGTGTTTATCCCTCTTTCATGTGCTGTTGTCACTGCTCCTTGTTTTGTTTGATTTCCTCTCCATGTGCAAGGTTGCTGTCGTGGTTTGTGTCTGTTGAACCCTCCTTGGTCCCCTCACGCACGTATGGACGTGGGGCCAACTGTTTGCATTCCGTCTCTTCTCCTCTCTTTCTCTGTGTCTTGAAGCTTGATGAGATTCAGGTCGTTCATTGAGTTGCCAATTGTCTTTGTTCTGTCTTGGAATCAGACGCAATGCACCCAAGAAGCAAGAGAGCAGCGGACGGGATCAATCCTTCAATCACCGCATCTGCCACACGCCTCCTCGACGCACCAACACCAAACATGCTACACATGAGGTACGCGCGCGTTCGCATGTGTGTGTGTGTGTGTGTGCGCGCGTGTGCGTGTGCATTCGCATTTGTGTGTGTACATACATTTGTGTGTGTGTGTGTGTGTGTGTGTGTCTGCACGTGTGTTTGTTTTGTGGACCTGCTCATTGCATTTCTCCTCATGTGTTTGAATTGCTGGGTGTGTTGGCGTGCGCTTCCTCCTTCTGCTGGTTAGCTCACGTGACGAGACATGCATTGTGTGTGTGTGTGT